TCTTTGCATCCCCTTCTTTATCCACCCTCCTGCTTCTGTCTCTTATACACATCTAGATGTGTATAAGAGACAGGAGAGAGAGAGAGAGAGAGAGTGAGTTAAAAGCAATTTGAGACAATTCTTGAAACAACTGAAGACAAGTATGACGGAGGGGGGGAGGGACGCAAGTTTGAAGTCTCAAGCCAATCGAAAAGATGATCAAGAAAAGAAAAACATAAGCCAAATGAGGGCATGACTGGATACAATGCACCAGAAATTGCATTTCCTTGCACAGTCCGACGATGTAGTCATCACTGCAAGTAGTGTGATCTAATGTAATTCCTGGTGCATTGTATCCGGTCATAATATGTAAATCCTTGACACCATAATTTTGGTATGAAAAGGATTGGAAGTTCGAAAACTTTTCAGGGTTTTGAACATTGAGGGCAATACTCACACTAGCACTTTCTGAAATGCATCTGACTGCAATTACAGCCAGATGTACACAAATCTGATTGCGGTCACATATCCGTGGATGTCTCGCTGCAATAACGTCCAAAGCTTCGTTAAAAAGAAAAAAAAGAAAACTCCCTCCTGATTCCCTACTGTCTTCTTGAAACAGGGAGCAGCTACAACTTCTACTGGTACTAAGTGTTTCTCGAGCTGGAGCTCGTAGAGGCCCCAGACTGAGAAGAAGGATGCCCACCCTTAGGAGGGATCTTCTGAGAGACCTTTGTGTTCTTGCAAAACTGCTGGTGGCCATATTCGCCGCAGTTTATGCAAGCCCCACGTGACCAACGGTCCCGTCACACTTCTTGATTTAAACCGACCGTCGCCCAAGCAGCTATTTTGTTTGGGTTGGCGGCTTGCCCCTGACTCCTCTATTGACCGCCCTTGCCGCAGCCACCTGCCTTAGTCTTAACTACGGCGGCGAGGTTGCTACCCTCAGCACTCTCTTCGCCGTCTAACTTTGATCCTCCACAAGCTCAGAAACGTCATCGATCTCAGTTTGATTCCCATCGGAATCAACCATCATCAATTGACTACCCTTTTTCTTCCATTCTTTTTGAGTCTTTTTCTTTCTAAGGGGGGCTTGAGCACCACCCACTGTAGCCTCCAAGTCTAAGGCCTTCTTACTGAATGTCTCAAATGTATGATACTCGAGACGAGCCTTGCTAGCTAAGAGGTTCTTGATGTCTGTGGGAAGACATCTCAAGAACATGGTCAATAGGACCTGTGGATTATACTCCACTCCTGGTACGACAATCAACCGCCCTACGGTTGTGATAAGCTCTCTCACGAACTTGTACTTCCTAGTGTCAAGTTTCAGTAGCCCATCAATGGCAATCTGCGCCATTGGGTTGTGCCATCGAGCCTCCACTAAATTCATAAAGCTCTCAAGGGTATGAGTTTTGGCCCAATCATCCATGTTTCTGTCGAACCCTTTGGAAGCTACTAATCCATTTAGCCAGTGAGCTGCTGAACCTTCTAAATAAGATGCAATAGTAATCACCTACTCCTCTTCCAGCGTCCTCTTCGCCCTGACCCACACTGGAACCGTTCTCAACCAAGTGTTGAGTGCCCCGTCCTTCTTATCTCTTGAGAAGGTTGGAGGTGGTTTCATAGGGGTCTTGGGGTACCAAGGTTGTTGCTGTCCCACTGGTGAGACAAGTGGCGGCTGTGGTGTAGCTCCAACCGCTAGACCAGAAGATGAAGAAGCAACAGTCCGAGATAGAACTGCTGCTGAGGTACCGCTTGGTGATGGTTCGGACTGAGCGGCATAGGAGTCTGTCATCGCTGAGAATGGCAGCGATGGCAAGACTGCTGGCCTGATTCTTGGCCTGTGCATGGTGTTCAAGATCTGGTCCAAGGTGTCCTGGATTGTATCCAATTTGCTGTCCATGAATGTGTGCATGAACATGTTGCTCGCCGTAAAAAAAATTTCAGTATTGCTAAGGGTCGAGTCATCTAAACCCTCTAGTGCAATGTTGTATGCCTACCTACCCTCTAGTCTGACACTCTTGTCTCTAATCTTTTTCTCTCTTTTAGTAGCCTATTTAAGTTTCTCCTCTAGCCTTAAGCGAATCCTTTCTATTTGTTGGAGCTCGATCTGTTCCTGGATGTGTGGAGGCGGCGAGCTGAACTTCGAGCCCGCCATCTGACTAGTATCAGCTCCTGACGTACTGAAGATGGATTGTGAACTGGTCGCGTTGAGTGGCATGCCCAAGCTATGACCAGTACAGTTTGCAACAGATGTCGTTGAAGAGGTGGCCGTTGCTACTACGCTAACTGCCGCTGCTGCCAACGCCCGTTCAGCCGCTGCTGCTGCCTCTCTCGCAGTCTCTAGATTACAGACCCTTGCTTCGACCCTAAGTCTTCTCTCGTTTCCTGGTAGTAGAATCTGGAACTCTACGGGTATCCTACTGGTCCCCCGTCGTGTCTGCCTTTATCGTCAGATGTATCTTCACCACCCTCTAATTCGCTCATGGGCTAGGCAGACGCTGTCTGCACTAATGTCCTCTCTGGGACCTACCGCAGCATGAGTCTGACCGGTCCTAAAAATAAATAAAGTAATGTCCGGCGAGTTACCCAGATTACAGGTCCAGCGGTATCAACAACACCTACATAGATTGTACGCATAGTCTACCTCTATTCTGATTAGTTATGCACAAAAGCTTTGAGAAGAACTGACTATGGTAGATTACAGTCCTACTCTACACTGTCTGTTAGGTGTTAGCAGTCTGTCAACCAACTAATCAAAATAGAAATAAACTACTGTGAGCAGATGTATGCACAATGGATCTGACAATGTATTCTAAGGTGTGCAACAACGGCCCACCCCTGTGCCCAAGACGTATGCTTATGACTAGCCTGCCCGTTGTTTACCCTCGCGTGCAACGAGCCTTACGTCTAACTGATCTGGTTGATCAAGAGGCAATTTAAGGACAACCCCCAAGAGTCCTTAGGAATTATTCAACGTTGCAATTAGGACGAGGATCACAACCAGTGGAGAGATCAGACCCCACTCAGAAATGTTTATAGACGGTCTGGGAGCGTCTGTACCAGAAATATTTATAGACGATTTGGGAGCATCTGCATTAGGACTGGTCAGTCCGCACACACCTTCTATCAGCGCAACAAGGAGCCTCAATGGACAAAGCAGCATAGCCTGCGTGTACTACTACCATGGGTTGGCATGGTGATCGTGACCCATGCTTCGACCAGGGCCCTTCAGAGGCACCACCCTCTCCTACCAAATGCGCCACCGGGAAGAATGTCGTCTCTCAAGATAGAGCGCACACGACTCCTTACAAAAGAGAGGACACTCCAGTTGGACTCACTTCCTCACGGTAAGAAGAGATTGAGAGGGTAGACAAGGAATTGGAACAACGTACCTGGAGATAGCTGCCCCCTAACCACAAATTTCTCACCAATTGGACCGACGTGCATTTCGATGACCGATCAATAGCCTCGGTACCACCCATAACGCAATGTAGTGCCACCTCAGCCCAAATGCCATGTCAGCATACTCTCATCATCATACATACATCCGCTGTCGCTACAGCTCCCACGTTGTTGCCACAGCCTTCCAGCGGCCGGCCCCTCTACCTGGGCCCCGCTATAACCAGCCAGCGTCGAAGTATCCTTACTGCACATGAAGCATCGTCAGCTCACCAAGTAACAATGTCGCCGGTGCCAGGTAAGCGGTGATCACGAACCAGCTCCGATACCAAATTGCAAGGAATGCGAGTGTGAACGGTATACAGAAAACCAAGTTGCGAAATCACACAGATGTCCAATCGTGTCTAAGCAGAGAGTACAAATGCACCGAGAAAAACATCCATATAGAGCAATACAATGAAGTAATGAGCCAATGTTCAAACCCGTAGGCCACACCGACACAGTATTCAAAGTCGCTCCTCTCTGTCTGGCCCCCAGCGCCCAGCCTACTCTACCCGACTATCCTACCTACAGCTGTGTTCACGCAACAGGCTCACTTCGACTCTCGAAGACCAATGTACATGACTGTCAACACCATAGCCGACGTCTCTTCATGCACCAGGTACGTGTCTCGCCACCCTCAATCAGACCTTGATAACTTCACACTCGCCTCCTTCCCTGAAGACCGCCAGATCGCCCGCATTACCCCCTGGCGCCCAGCAGCCCGGCTATGGCTGTCTGCGCCCCGCTGCCCTGCAGCACCCCACTTCACCTCGATGCGCCTCGT